GCTAGTGCAAAGTCATGAATGCGTGGGATTGGGCAACGGTACGGAATGGTAGCATAGTCCAGCGCACGTTAATCGCCACAAGAACACCAATCACACCAGGATGGAGAAAACGAATGATATGGGGAGACCCTGAGTCCGTTTAACGGATGGATGATTTTCAGCTGCAGCATGTGCTCGCTGGATGGAGCCTGCGTAGAGCCTCGAGAGGACCCTTCCGGAAAGATACAATGCAGAATGTCATAGACAAGTTTGCCGTTAGATGGCACCGGTTATATGACTGATGAGAACTACTGTAAGGTGCAAGAAGAAGGGTTGGGTGTTGGTGAGACAGACCGTAGTTCAATATACATATATAATGTTTATTGTAACGTTTCGATTCAAACTACGACTCGTTAACAAACGCAAGAGAGAAAATATGATAGCGCGAAATAGGATCATCGTCTTTCCGAACGCCGGTCTGCTGTTTGTGTGTCTATAATCCCGCCAGTCGTAGCAGGTTTTACGGGTGCGACGTAATGTTTATCCATTTCGACATGTCGGTTCATCGAATTGAGTGTAAGGCTTTGTTTCACAATATGAGGAAAATGAGCAACTTTAGATTTCCAGTGCTTTTATTTTCTACGGTTATATACGCTGATGGGATGGATGAAGGTAGCATGATCAACAGTGCGTCAAATTGTATTTAAAAAAATTTAGATAGGGTTTATTCTACTGGGACCTATTATTGTATAATCGGTAGACCTGATCGACAGCCCCCTGGTCAAACATCGCAATTACATACTGATTACTGATAAGTAGCATAAAGGCGCTCATGTAGGAAGTTGATATCAGAAAATTAGAAAGTGAATATAAAAAATAACAGAATAAATAATAATAGACAGTCAATCAACGTGATATCGCTCACTGATGTGTTTTAAAAATGTTCCAATACCCATTTCTACGTTTGATGACGAAAAGCAAAACCAATATCGGTATTGAACTTCATCCCCTTCCCCAACGGAGTTGTAAACTGCCTGCTTTCTTCTATTTATCCGGCTCCAGTAGCCTTCCACATCGTTCGTGTGGACATCAGTGTTAAAATACTTCAAACAATTTCATCTGAAACTCACGATCGCATATGCGAGCAGTGTAAATTGGTTGAAGTAGGCACACATCACGAATTACGAAACACGAAGCACAGACGCAACTGGAGAGCTGAATCGCAATAGCATTTGCACACTGATATCTTACGTAACCGAGGCACAGGAAAAGGCCACAGAAGTAGCAGTTCGTTTATTGAAAGAAATGAAGGGGATTGAATAAAATGTACAAAGGATGTTTATTGGTTATACAGGTATCCACCAATAGCCTGCTTGTATTTTTGACGTCATACAACTTCTGTCTGGACCGCACAACTTCTGATTGGTCGGTGTATACGGCTTGTGTTGCATTGTCCAGAAGCTATAACGCGTAGGTGGTTGAATGGCATCATCTGGGAAAGTTGATTCACCATCAGAAACCGTAAATCGTCGCTGCGTGGCTGGCGTTACTCCGTAGGCTAGGATCACCACAACTCTTCTCCTTCAAGAGAATCTCGTCGACTTGACTTGTTCTTCCGCTTGGTCTTTGAGGCACTAGAAGAGCATTCTTATCGGTAATGGTTTTCAGGAGCATTGGATTGCCGGTTTAGGATTTCACCACACAGTGTATGCTCCCGAGCGACCCTGATTGATGGATCTGAGTGCTTGAAATACGCTACGATGCTATGAGAGACGTGACCCCCCGGATTCAGGTTATGAAATGTATTGTATGCGTGGTGACTCATTTGAATCTCAGTGGGAAACACTGTTTTTCATTTCCTATGCTTTTCATTCTCCACGCCTAGGTACATTATCCACAACCGGGCACTCGACCAACTTTGTATTCGCCATCGATCTTCCTACAGATCAACCACAGAAACACTGGATTCAACGTGGTGTCGCCCTACTTTGCGCTCTCAACTACTAGACCTGGTCCTCAGATGGCTCGATGTGCTATTCCAGTGTCCAATCGACCACACAACACAATATCCATTCCGTGTCATCTCACTGCCGTCCAGTAGACGATGAGGACACAACCGGACAGAAAAAAATCTCGTGCAAAACGCGACAACAGTATATATTGTACCATAACATATTTCAAAAAGTTCAGATCAACCAGTTTCACCTAGTTTACATCCGTGATACTTCCAAATTCGGACCTACTAGTCTCCCAATCCAACTAACTCATTCAAGCCACCAATCATTCATTGCAACACTATACCCCATTCACTTTTCCCCGTGCTTTCTCCCGAACGGATTCGAAAACATGACCACACTTTCGATTGATTTCGCAACCCCCGGTTGCCAAAGTCGATACACTGGTCCACTCTACCGCACCGTGTGATTTGAGTGGATTTACACGTGCATGTGTTTTTTGTGTATACCTAGGTATTCATTCTATTCAGTGGAAAACCATCACCGATTCAGGCAAAGAGAAAAACTTCGATATGACATATCATCTGGTCAAGTGTTTCCTGTCTACACTTTCTTGTTTCAGACTAGTCCTGTGCGGACGAGATCTATTTGCTATCGGACAATAGTCGATTGAAACTCAGAGGGCTTGAAAGGATAGCATTTGAATCTAAATATCCATTACCAATGGGGTTTTGACTGAGCAACGAATGAAACATTTGACTCTACACATTCGGTTCCACAAACAGATGATGCATCCGATAGATATATTCAGATTTTAAAGCATTTTTTTGTGCATGCGCAAGCTACTAAACATCAGTCCGGATAGCCGAAATGGTGAGTAAGTCGGAATAGCAAAACCCCGCCTCTGGGTTTGAAGAGCAGTGAATGCAACAAAAATATGCATTATTACTGACTCTCTCTCCCTTCCATGAGGACGTGTTTTCAACTATTTTCAGCGGCAAATGACAAGTGAGTTCTCTGTGAAGGACACATCGTAACAAAGCATAGGTATTTTAATTACATCCCATTATGTGATCAGCATTTGACGAAATGTAATCCACATTTGCAAAAACCAATCGTTAAGCAACGTGAACTCAGATTTGGGACCTAGGAGTCACATAAGGTCCCAAAATGACTCGTTCACTTTTAAAACCGGTCATATTGAGACAGTCTACTATCAAGGTTGATTCGAAATGTGGTACGGTTTGGATCGAGGCCAAAGGGCTCCGTGATTCTCAGGAACAACAAGTTACAGCGCTTGATCAAGTCTAGGCCTTTGAGGGTTTTATACTTTCATAGTGGTCGAAGTATTCAATCTAACAACAACAACAAAAAGCGCGAAACGGTAGGGTTAACACAATCCGCCTGCAATTGGAACACTTGACATTCTTTATCGAAAATTCGGCCAACAAATGATTGAAAACTAAAAAACTGAAACTTCTTCATTGAACGAAATTGTTTCGGGTCTGCCTTGATTCTGAGCTTTTGCTAGCTGTCCCGATACGAATGGCTGCCACTTTTGTGATCGGTGTTCTTTGTCGTACCTTGCCTTGTTGTGCTACTGAATTTGCCTGGCTTTCTCAACCGCTGCTCTCTCCAGCTGATCTAGCTCCTTCATGGAAACTTGTTCGCCAAATCTTCTGAGAAACGCATCCAGAGAGGTTCTGGGCTCTCTCTTCATTAAGGCTGACAACGGATTATCGGATACTCCATGCATTTAGGGGGAACAGAGTTGAACCCAAAACGACAGAGTTCCCTTTCTCTGCTTATAACTTCTAATTAGATGGTAAAGAATACTCCAGCAATAGTTCTTCAACTTGTTTTTGGGGTGAATATAACAGGTGAATAATAGTTGTAGTATGTTTGGCCGGTGTTTAACAACAGAGCCTTGTTAAAAATGCATTGGATACGAATTTATACTCAAAACAAGCGTTAAAATGTTAACTGAAGGTCGTATTGGGTACGGTTAAGCCCAAAGACACAAAAGCGTGCCCTTCTGTGTCTTCAAATTTCCACAACTTCTCAAAAAATGTGTAAAATTAACAAAGCATGACAACGCTATGGAAACCAAAACGTTCACTCGCGTTAATGGATATTTCTTCGAACTTAGTCCGCTGATGGTTGAGAATCCATTTGAGGCCAACTAGGTAATTGTCTGACGAAACGGTACACATTTTGAACAAAACCTTATTCGGGAGATGTGGATGTTTATGCTTTCTCTGCACAATTCCTACAAAGCTATACCATTTTGGATCAATATAAACTGATTCATGTATCCATTAGGCTGTGAGTATAAATAAAACCTTTTATCGTTAATTTGGATGCAATATGCCACAACACAGAGGTTAGAAAATTGTGCTTACGTATGCTGCGGCTATTTTGATGAATGAATCTGCTGATGCGCGTCGTGAAATACAATTTTACCTGGCGTGCTCTTCGCTATCAACGAATCATCAGGAAGCACCGATAAGTTATCTTTTAGGTCATTGCAATTTCTAATGAACTCCTTTATCAAAATTGACAGATTATACTGATGAACCCATTGCTTTTTGCCCGAACACTGTTTAATAAGTGGGTACTTTAATTGTTAATAATTAACATAATTATGTGCTAAAGTTTATGGTTAGAATCTGTCACCAATGTCGTTTGCGCTCTGTTCTTAGCACGGGCTGCATAGTACAAAATGCAAACGAACTGTACATGAGGAAACTCCGTGCAAAATTGAATCAAATCACTCACTCCGATCTGTGGCGGAATGTTTTCAACCAAATCATATTACTGAAGAGTGGTGCTTAGATGAGTAACGCGCAGGGACCACAAAAAGCTTGTAAAGATGCGTGTTTGCTATTCCGAATACACATAAGATGCAAAACTGTTTTTAATCAACTTATCCGGACTGACCAAGTAGGTGGTGTGTTTGTGTTTCACTTGTATTAGATCCAGGGTTTGATCCTAAATTCGCATCCACCCAGGCGGAAACAACTGTTTATTGCTTCATAGGTTTCATTGGTTCAGGCTTCGTTAGTTCTGTACCATTTAATTGAATCAAATACTTCACTGTTCTAGTGTAATAAATTAAGTCATGTTTTTGTTTCCGATTTTCAACCAGTTGATCAACTTCTGGAGTTCATTACCAGTATTTGAAACCGAAAAATGATGTTGCTTCGATAAATTTGTTACCAATGAGTTTCATTGTAACTTGGATTAGTCTGTTCATTGTTGAAAATGATCAAAGAGATTCTCCTATTCTTTCAACAATGCGTCTCACTCCTCACCTCGTGTGAACCTTTTACAAACCGAATGTGGTTTTGTGTAATATTTTGAATAGTATTTGAAATGTAGTTCCGGAATTCCTCGAAACAGAACAACTTCGAATGGACTAGCACACGTAATTTATTAGAATTTTATGCTCTGCGTGTTCAATACATTGAAAGTGTGCAATAAATTTTTGGAGGCCAGTTTCATACATTACTCTCGCCAAACCTTAAATTGACCACAGAGTTTCAGTAATCTAATCACGTCGTTCAGACAGCTCAATTATTCACAGATAATTCTTCCGTAGCAGTTTGTTGTTCGACAGTCTGTTCATAAGTCCTATCGAGTTGCTCAGAATCGAACGCTATTTGACTCAGAAAGTTCATCATAAAATGTAACCGATTGACTTAAACTGACAAAACGACGAAGAATGTCTCACATTAGTACCACTGAAAAATATAACTTCAAAGGAATTACCATGCAATAAGTTGGATCTCAAATTTTAACTTTTGGAAAGTTTAGTGGGTGTTTCTTCAGTGAAAGAATGAACAGAATTATGATGTTATAAAAGACATAAATCAACACCTCTCTCAAGTTCGGAAAACGTGCATGGATTCAAAGCAGTAATATCACTTTTAAGTGTTCTAACAAAATTTTCTGCTTCACCATTAGAGCACGGATGTCTGGGAGCGGTAAACAAGTGTTTACATCCAATGCTAGGCAGCCATTCTGAAACACGTTTTGCTGAGAACTCACTGCTATTAACGGTAAAAGCAGTAAGTACAACATCCCGGCTGAAAACTTTGCGCAAGGCATGAACGGGGAAAACTGACTTGGTGAAAATACCTTTGGCCACTAGTGAGAAGTAGTCAATAACAACAGGAGCATACACTTCATTAAGAAATGGACCACAATAATCAGCATGAAACACGTTTCCAAGGCTTTGTTGAAACAAGCCACGGAACCCACTTCGATGGCAACTGTCGAGCTTTGTGATAGCATTTGGAACAGCTGTTTGCTTTGCAACGTATGTCGGCATCCATGTTCAGTCACCTATAAGTTAACCCATGCAATGACTCCATTTCTCTATCCCAAGATTACCGGAATGTAAGTTGTCAAGTACGGCTTTACACAGTTGTGTCATTGAACCACCTGCTATCCACCAGACGTAATTGAAAGTTCATCATGTCAAACATAGTGATATGGAAATCGCTTCCTTGTCTGTGAATTCTAACCCTTTTACACGGCAGCCATCACAGCGGAGAAATAACGACGTTTGTCCCGAGAAGGCTTTGACGGCTCGCAGTGTACAATAACTTTATCGAGGTCAGTTTAATACCTCCTATTTTCTTTTCTGTGCATCTACCATTTCAATGTCCCATAATTCAACAACGACTAGGGAACAAGTGTTTCTATATTCGTTGGAAGTGTCACACGCACATTGTTCTAACTAATCTCAAATAAGCAAATGACGAAGGCGCAAACTGTGATAGTGTAACCGCACTTCTTATACCGCCAATACATCGTCTTACAAAATAGCTTCTTCGGTTATATAGATACGGCTGTACTAGGATACTCCCGATCAAGCCTGCTTGTGTGATTGCTTTCAATGTCTCCCAGGCTATCTTTAAAAATTGGTGCTGGTTAATCGCATGTTTGTCAATACTCGGATATTTAGCTAGTGTTTACTCTGAATATTAAAAAATTACAGCTTCATACAAGAAAAAAATAGATAAGAATACCAGATTTCAAATAGCC